CCGTGCCTCCCCCCCGCCCCGCCGCTCCCGCCGTACCGGTCTCGCTCGCTCCGCGCTGCGCTGCCAACGCCGCGGATCCGCCCAGGCCCCGCGCGCCCCCGCACTTCCGGGACACGCCCGACACTTCCCGTTACTCGCCGCCGCGCCGCCGCCGCGCTTCCGGCCGCGGACCGCGCGCTGATTGGCCCGGGGGGGGCGCGCGCGGGCGGGGCGGCACGCACCGGATGGGCGGGACCGAGGCGGAGCGGGGCGGCACCGGCAGGGCGGGGCGGACAGCGATCGGGACAGGACCGCGGTCTGCGAGCGGGAACAGGACCGGCGGGGCAGCATGGGACCGGGACCGGGACACGGCAGAGTGGCGCGGAACATCACGGTATGTGCGGGAGCGGGACGGGGCGCAGGCCCAGCGCGGCAAGGCAGCAGCCACAGCTCTAGACATGGTTCTATTTTATTACGGCAAAGGTGAAAAAGCCACCTTGGCCCAACAGGCAACCAGAAAAATTTATCCCAAAAATAACTCGGTACAAAACAGGTCTGCTGAGAATTAAAAAAAACCTTTACAGGAGTTAAAACCTATCCCAGAACGTAAAAGTAAAACAAATCCCATCCTCGGTAGTAGTAGCCACAGCCGCAGCCCCTGCCGGGAGTGTGGAGCAAGACTGGAGTCCTTCCCTGTGCCCACTGCTGCCGCTTTAGCTGGTGTCCATCTGCAAGAGAGGGAGGAATATCACCACAGCCCTGGCACAGCAGCACCCCGCACCCGAGCCCCCCCAGCCCTGCGGGCACCCGGTTCTGCTGAGCCCCGGGCACGGGGCACAGGGACGGGAGGGTGCACACTGTGCTGAGCACGACAGCAGAGCGCACCCCGACTCTGCTCCCGAGCTCTGCCTCGAGTCCTGCTCATCACACTCCTTCCATGCTCTTGCCCTGACCTATCCTGGTCCTGAACCACCCACTCGGTGTCCTTGTGGCCTTTTTGTTAGCCTGTGCCATAGCTGGGCCAGGATCCGAGCAAGTTCCAGGTACAGCTGCAGCCTGCCCGTGGCTCATTTCTGCCACCAGCATTACACTCTTTCCCCAGCAGCACACCACATAGCTCTTCCACATGAGATTTTCCTTTGTCTTCCCATTCCTGCAGCCTACCAGCCATGTGAGTTTTGTTCTGCAGCTGCTGCTCATAGTGGCTGCTCCAGCTATGGAGCCTGGCAAGAGCAGAGCCTGTTCCTCTGCCATCAGGAACAGGTGACAAACTGTTCTGGAAAGCGAAGCTCAGGCCCAAGCCAAGGCACAGTTCAGCTTCAGAGCGAGACTGCTTCAGTCCAAGAAGCTGGAAAAAGCTTTCTCTTTTTGGCCAGCTCCAGACTGCCAGTGCTTTCCAGGATGAGATGCTATGGGGAGCCCACTACCATGCCCAAAGCAGCACTTACCCTGGCATTGTAAGCATCCAGCTGTGCATCTAGTTCTTCTGCAGAGAGCTGCTGTTTGGAAGTTCTTCCAGCTCCTCTGCCTCTCCCTCTGTTCCCGCCACGAGTCCCTCGCCTGTTGCCTCCACCTCCAAACCCCCCCGAGACCCCGCGGGTTCTGGTCATGCCACCTCTGTTTACACTGCAAGTTTTAAAAACAGCGTTTTAGTGCCTTCAGTGAAGCCAAAGAGGACCCACACTCCCTCCCCAGCAGGGAGGGGTCCTGCCCTTCCCGCCCCAGTGCCCGGGCAGGGGCTCCCCCACCTCTGTGCTGGTCTCCGCTGCGTGTCGATCTGTGACGTGACCAGCTGGATGTTCATGGGGCGCCCTGCAGGAGGAGAGCAGCGGTGAGCAGGACACACTCACACGGGGCAGGGGGGACTGGGGGAGGGAGAACTGCACGAGGGGAGGGACACGGGTGTGCGGGGACCCTGCCCAGCCACGGGAACGCCGCCTCACCGTCCAGGGGCACGCCATTGTACTGCTTCATGGCCTTCAGCGCGTCGGCCTTCCTCTCGAAGTGCACGTCTGCCGTCCCCAGGCTGCGGCCAGATCTGTCATAGTGCACAGCTGCCTTCTTCAGGGTCCCAAACTCCGCAAAGAGCTCCTGGGAGTGGGAGAGAAAGGAGCCCATCCATCAGTGCTGCCAACACTGCAGCACCCCACAGGCACGCTCGGTGTCAGTGCTCGTCCCGCCGCCTCAGACAGCCGGGACAAACACCCAGTGGCACAGCGGAGCACAGCCCATCTGCAAGACTCCAGGCAGCTGGCACAAGTGGCAAAACCAAGCAGGACTCCACGCTTGTGTCCTGCAGGAGGCACATTCACACCCAGTAAAGCAGATTCAAGGGATGCTGACCTGTTTTGTTTTGTTTTTTTCCCAGGGGAACTGGAGGTCTTTGTTGAAGATGAATCAAAGTGGCAACAACTGAAAATACTGCAGACCCCAGACACTTACTCAGTGGGGAATGACCACGTGAGTGCAGGGATCCACAAGACCATGGCACTTTTACTGCTGGACTTGTGCCCATCAGGAACATACCCCAAAAATGGAGCCCAACAAAGTCCTCTGCTGAGGTCTGCCCTTTGCTGCTACAAAGGCTGGAAATAAAGAGGCAGCAACAGAGGCACCAATTCTGTTTCTCAGGCACTACATGTGGGAAGGCAACAAGGTTACTGCACTGCCTGTGTCAGCCTGCTCCCGAGCCACAGCAGGGCTCTCAGCAGGGCTGCTGCAGGAGAACTGCACAGGGCACCTGGCAGATGCTTTCTGGACAGAACGTGGCAGGCGAGGCTGTGTCAGCTCTGCCCAGAGCCCGGGTCAGCTGCTCCTGCCTCAGAGGACACAAAGAGGGACATGCACAGCTCCTTTGTGGCCTCTCACACCACATACAGAGCCGTTAGCACAGGAACAAAACCACATCTGAGGCAACGCTAAATTATGGGGCTGGGGGCCAAAGACATTGAGCCAGCCCTGCTGCTAAACAAACCCCAGTGGGAGCTTGTGCAGCAGCACGAAGAGAGTCCTGGCTGCACACAGGGCACAGGGGCTGACTTTTACACACTGCTGCCTCACTGCAACAAAAAGAACTTATTTAAACCCAGTCTGAACTTACAAGAGGGAAAGAACTGGAGTGCAGCACACTATCCAATGAGCAGGGGACCTGCCAGAGCTCCTTTCCCATTCCCCACACACAGCCAGATGGGTGGGGGAAAGGCTGAATGAACGAACTGATGAGGAGAGTCTGGCAGCAGTGGTTTGGTTTTCTCTGGTGAGGCCACAAGAGCCAGAGGCCAGGGTGATGGCAGCACTCTGTGGTGCAGGACCCCTGCCAGGGACACACGTGGCACTCGAGCCTGCACAGCTCACAGCCCACTCCTGACCCTGGGACACCCCTCAGCACCCGACTGCAGGCACTGTGGGCTCTGACAGCCCAGCCAGGCATGGCCATGACAGGCGGAGGGCAGGACACCAAGGCACAGGAGCAGTTCTCGTGACAAATAACTGCCTGGCTACACTGATGGCTGCATCCTTGGGAAGCCCCTGACACCCACCAGAGTGTGGACTGACAAAGCAGCAGGGCCCAGGGCACAGTCAGGGACAGCTACAGCTGTGCAGAGCAGGAGCTCACAGAGCTCACAGTGATCCAGCAGTCACAGCCTCGCTCCCCCTGCACCAGGTACTTACAAAGCACCTATAAACCGGATTTTCCAGCCCCCTGGAGACCACCACCATCGTGGCAAAGCAGGCATATAGTACCAACCCCAGCACCAGGGATTCACCCGGGAATCCTCGGCCCCCAGCACAGTGGGAGCAGGGCCGGCGGGGCTCCCGCCGGCACCCGACCGGGGCCAACAAACGAGGCCCCGCTCCCCGCGGCGCCTCCCCGAGCCGCACCTGGATGTCCGCATCCGAAACGCCGAAGTCCAGGTTGGAGACGAGCAGCTTTCCGCCGGTCTCCACGCCGGCCCCCGCCCCGAAGCCGCTGTCGAACAGGTCATGCTGCCACTTCTCGGGGAGTTGCTTCGGCTGCAACGAGACCGGGCCGTGGCTGACCGGCGCCAGGGCCTCGCAGCCCGCGGCCGCGCCGGGAGTGGACAAAGGGCCTCCCGCGTCCGCGCCCCCGCCCCGCGCGGACCCTCCGCCCCAGCCCGCCGCGCCGCCGCGGCCCAAGCTCCGCCCGGCCGCCCCGGCCGCCCCGGCTGGCCCCACGCTGGCTCCGGTTGAGCTTAATGATGTCGTCCAGGGACATGTCCATCTTGTCGGCCATGATGGCGGCACCGCTCCCACCCGCACTTCCGGCCGCGCTGCGCCCGCGCCGGAAGCGGAAGAGGCGGGGCCGAGGCGCGGCGGGCGCGCGAAGCTCTGTGGGGCGGGCGGCACTTCCGGCGGGAGCGGCACCGGGAGCGGGACGGGAGCGGAACATGCGGGTGCGCGTGCGGAGCTGGCACGGAGTCGCGTCTTGGCTGTGGGTGGCGAACGACGAGAACTGCGGCATCTGCCGGATGGCCTTCAACGGCTGCTGCCCCGACTGTGAGTGCGGGACCGGCACCGGCACCGGGCACCGCGCGCGGGGCGGGGCTGACGGTGTGTCCGTGCCGCAGGTAAGGTGCCCGGCGACGACTGCCCGTTGGTGTGGGGGCAGTGCTCGCACTGCTTCCACATGCACTGCATCCTCAAGTGGCTGAACTCGCAGCAGGTGCAGCAGCACTGCCCCATGTGCCGCCAGGAGTGGAAGTTCCGCGAGTGACGGCGGCACCGGGCACGGGGACGGGCCGTGGCCCGCCCCCGGCCGGCCCGGGCCGCTCAATAAACGTGCGACGCCAGTCGCGTGTCCGTGTCTGTGTCCGGTGCCCGCGCTCGGAGCGGGGCCGGGCGCCCCGCGGGCCCCGGTGCTGCGGGACCCGGCCCCGTGCGCGCTGCTCGCGCCGTGCCGCCCGCCGAGCCCCCGGCCCCGCCGCTGCTCGGTGGGCTCTCCCGCCCGTGCCGCTCGACGCCGATGGCTCTTCCGGAGCCGATGTCGCTGCGTGCTGCCCAGCCCGGCCCGCTGCCCGCGGGGCTCTGCCCGCCGTGAGCACCGGCGCTCGCGCTGGGCACGGCTCGTGCTCCCTCCGCCGGCTGCGGAGCCCCTCAGCCCCGCGGTGCCCTGCCGTGAGCGCCGGAGCAGGGGCTGCCCTGTGCTGCTCCCGCCGTGTGACCGTGCCTCCTGCAGTGCTGTGTGTAACCGGGGTCCCGGAGCTGCCGGGACTCCCCGGTGTAAGGCAGGCCTGCCTCTGTCCCTGGGCCCCGAGGGGTGTGCGGCTGCCTGAGCAGTGCTGGTGGCTCTGGGGTGACAATAAAGCTGCTCGGGATGGCTCTGTCTGTCTGTCCTTGCAGGGAGGGGGGAGCCCACCCAGACCTGGCAGCTCGGGGCTGCTGAGCCCTCCCCTCCCCTCCCCTCCCTCCTGTGGTGCTGAGGCTGCTCAGGTACCCAGCAGAACAAAACCCCGTAGAGGATGGCCCAAGGCCTGTGGGAGCTGCAGGGCACAGTGCAGGGCTAGCAGGGGCCAAGGGCTGTGCAGGGGGCAGGTGACACTGTTCCTTGTGCCCCCAGACAGAAAGGCCCTGCTCCCCCTTGTGCTGCAGGGGACCTGGCACAGCCTCTGCCCAGCAGGACACGGACTGGGGGCGCACAGGACAGGGGGTGGCAGCTGGCCCTGGCAGAGGCACCCTGGGACAGTACCCAGGATTGTCCCTCCACAGGTGCTCCAGAACACAGCAGCCAGCCTGGCCCACGTGGCTGCCGTGCTCATTAGGAGAGAGCCCAAGGAGTGCCCCCAGTGCCCGTGGCTGCAGCTGTGGCACACGTGGACCTGCCCTGCTGTGCCAGCCAGAGCCCAGGAGGGGCCAGCAGGTGTGTGGTGGCTGCCATGGAGCTGCAGGGATGCAGTGTGGGTGTGGTGCTCCCTCTCAGTGCACTGGGCTGCAGCACGTGTGCCCTCTGCCCCCCTTCTGCTAGCTGGGCTCCAGCCCCAAAAAGACCAATGCACAGCTCTTGAACATTTTATTAATGATCAGCAACAAAAGTTTACAAGAGAGAGGACACCAGACAGAGCCTGGAAGGACCATCTGGCACAGTGCAGTGAGCTGCTCAGGATACCCACCACAGTATCCTGGAATGTAAGAGGGAAAAGGGGCTCACAGCTCAGGACCCATTCTCCCAGCCCTGCACTCCCCTCAGCCATCAGAATGTCAGCCTCAGCATGTCAGCCATCAGAAAACAACCCCAAACCTTCACCTGGCCAGGTCCCAGGCTCAGGTAACCCACTGGGCACAAGGTAGGCTCTGAGCATGGTCCATCAGGTTCTGCTGCCTTGCAGATGGGAGAGCTTTGGGAAAAGGCCCCAGGATCCCTGTGCCTTGTGTGGGGAAACACCTGGACACAGCAGCACCTGTTCCTTCAGCAGCTGCCACCTGCAGCCTGGCACTGGGGCAGCAAAGGATCTGCCTTTACCCAGCTCAGCCCACAGTGGCTCTGGCTGTGGGCAGGGGCAGGAGCTGAGAAGAGGCAGCACAGTGAACCCAGAGCCCAGCACCACCTCTGGCAGCCAGCCCCTGCAGGAGGAACCACAGGAGCCCTGTCCTGTCCCCGAGGCTGCTCTGCCTGTCCAGCACCCACACACTGCCCAGGGGCTGCTCTGCAAGGCAGAGCCTGCTCAGGGCAGCCAGGGCAGGGCAAGGGGCACGGGCAGCTCCTCCACTGCCCTCCCACTGAGAGCCAGAAATGGCAGAAGGTAAAAGCACATCAACATGTTAAAACATTAGTTATAATTAAAACCTTTTTGTTTTGTCAAATCTCCTCCTGGGAAAAGGGACAAGGACTGATTAACAGAGATCAAACTAGGCAACGGAATCCCAGCTCGTTATGTCTGCATAATTAGTGCAGGAGCAGCTAGGACAGCAGAGGGTAGGACGGCACATCCTGCGTGCCAGCAGCGCTGCCCCTCTTCAGGGCTCCTTTCCTGAAGAGCAGTTGCTCTGCCAGAGGGTGAAGTTGCAGCACTCTGTGGCTCACCCATCCCCACTAGTGCTTCTCCTCCTCCAGCCTCCTCATGGCCTCCAGCACAGCCAGCTCTTTTGCTTCTTTCTTCTGGTTGCGAGCTTCAAACTCCAGCCTGCAAATACCACACAATGCCCTAAGATTCTCATTCACACATGATGCTTGTAGACAAAACACCTGGAGCAGGGGAGCATTGCCTTCTATGCTGCTCAGTTCTGAGAGCACTTCAGAAACCCCCAGAGTCTCTCCCAGAGCTTCCCATGGCTGTTGCCAGCATTCTGCAGTCCTGGACTCCCACACTGGTCACAACTTCTGTCTCCCTCTGTGGAAGAAGCTGCTATTCCATTCTTGGGCTGTCCTGGGTGTTGTAACACCAAAATCTTATTTATCACTGATGTGAGCCAAGGTGCTGAAAGTGAAGGACTCAGGCCTAAAAGGCCAAAGCTCTGAAAGAAGCCAACATGCTCTTTCACCCAGGATACAGCAAAGGAAATTTATCATTAAAGGAGGAAAACCAATAAATGTGCCGTGCAGCATGTTCTGACACAGCAGAGTTCAGCTGTTCCCTTCCCTGTACAGATTGGTACAATCACATCTACAGCCTGCCCAAGCCATGAAGGAGGAAGCCAAGTTTGCTGACTCAGATAACACCTTCTCTCCCTGTCTGGCCCCATCCATCAGTCCCCAGACACTCTGGATGGAACAGTACGTGACAGAACCAGAGACAAAGAAATCCAACCTGTTCTTGATGATTCTTTGCACAATTAGATCTGTGGTGAGATTGCTGCCACTGTCCACCAGCTGGAAAATGCCACGTTGCTTCGGTTCCTGCAAACAGACACAGACAGGGCTGTGCAAACACATGGGGCCTGGGTGTACAGCTGAGCTGTGCAGGGTGACAGGCAGGATGCAGTGATCTCCTCGGAGGCACAACAAACACCCCCTGAAAGCAAAGCTCCACGTACACAGGAGCTGCCCGGGGCAGAGAGCAAAGCACACAGGATTTCTCACTCTGCCATGAAGGCATCAGAAACTGGCAGAGCAAAACAGTGCTTGGGAGAGTGGAGCTGCTGGGAAAGATTTACTGACTGCTGCACGTAGCTGCCCTCAGGGGTGGATGAAAAGCTGCATCTCCTGCCAAAGCCTCCTCTGCAATACACCACCTCAGTCCAGGAACACAACCAGAGCCAGGCTCTGTCTATCAAATGCTGACAAAGCCACTGGCACTTTACCTCATATGGATCAGAACCGTCCTTGTCTGGCACCACCTCAGTCATCCCATGACAAACAAGTGCTACCTGAAGGAGGACACAAAAGTCACCGACAACATCCAAAAGATGACAGGGACATTTCCTGCCACTACTCCCACTGAGCACAGCCAGGAGACCAGCACAGCCACCCTCCTGCACCAGCAAGGCAGTCCCAGTCTGAGCAGGACACTCCCTGCTTGCAACCCTGTGCTGTCCTGCACCACTTTAGCTCCCCACACACATCTCCACATCCATCCATGTGTAAGGACTCACCCTGAAGTGATCCAACAGATCAGCAGTGACAGCATAGGGAGCTCCAATCACCACCTCTGAGACATACTAAAAAAGGAACCAGGCAGAGTCCAGATTTGAAAAAAAACTCCATCAAACAAAACCCCAAAATCCAATCCCAAGCCAGAAAGCAGCTGCTTCTTAAAGAGACCTGAGCAGGTCACCTGGCTATAGAGTCAGAAGTTCAAACAAGGGAACAGAGAAGTGGGTTCAGCAGCAACTGATTGTCACACAAGCTTTCTGTTCCTCTACAGAATGTCCTTTCTGTGCCTACAGATCAAATCCAAAAGTTAATTGCTCCAGGCACACATTTCTGGGGCTCCCCATAATTTTGTCCCAGGCATTTTCTCCCCTGCTGCAGGGACCAGAGTTTTCTGGTGGCACGTCTGAGCCACACAGGTCCCTACGTGGCATCTGGCCCTGTCACTGCCAGCAGTGCATGGGTCACCAGCTTGGATCAGCCAGGATGGCACAAGAGCCCAGCAGAGCCTCCCAAGGGTTCATCAGCACCTCTGGCAGCCTCAAGTGATTCATCCTGTCTGTCTTCTCAGGGCACACCAAGGAACTCCTGCAAGGTCACTGAACACAAGTGAACACCAGCAGGCTCTGGGCAATTCTGGAAGAGTGCAGAGACACCAACTCACCCTGCAGGCCAGGACACTGAGGGTTCTCTCATGGATGTTCATGATGGGATAGTTCTTCCCTTTGTAGCGATTCACCTCCTACAGCAAAGCACCAGGCACAGTCAGAAGGGAGACAGAGCAACTCCTTTCCCTCCTGCTCCCTCCCAAAATGACATTCCTGCACTGGTCAATACATCCCTGTCCTGTCTCAGGGAGCACAGCCTGCCTGTTCAGAGAACAGGCCCAAGCTGCTCTGCCTTGGGACAGATTCTACACGGACCTGATCAAAATGCAGCCCAGCAATGATGTAGGGTTTCTCTGCCAACTGGTGAACCTTCTCCAGGAAATCCACATGACCAACATCTGCAGATCTGTTTAAGGAATTGAAACTCACATGGAAAACAGAGGGAGGAAGACAGAAACAGAGTCACTAAAAAATGACAGTGGGGGACAGGAATCCCTAGGATTTTATTCTTGCACTACTTATTGCCTATTTGCAAGAACAGCTGCTGCCTCCCTCCTCAGGTTCCACTGATTCTGGGCAAAAGTCAGTGACTTTTTCAGCTCCACCTTACATGGACTCAGCTTTGCCTCTATCCAGAATTTCTACTTGTTCCAGATATTCTGGCACAAAGCCTCAAAGCCTGCCCCAGGAACAGCGTGTCACCTCCAGAAACTGTGGCAGCCAGTCTTCACCATAATCGTTAAGAGTGTTGAGAGTATCCATCTGCCTCCCTGAAATCCAACAGTCACAGATTGCTCCACAGAGGAGCTATAGCTTCTTTCTCAGCATCCTGTGACTAAGAAACTGCCAGGAAGAACTCGCTCCTGACTCCTCCTTCACATGCAGATACAGAAAAGAAAAAATAAAATGAGGCAAACATGCAGTCTGGTGCCTGCCAGCATGAGAACATCAAACAAAGACCACTGTGCAGCCAAAGAGAGCCAAGGATACGGAACAGGTCGAAGGCTCCAGCCACGTAGATGATGGTGTCCCCCGGCTGCGGCTCCTTCCCCGACGCAAACTGGATGATCTTCTGGGATGTCTGCAGGAACTGCGAGACGCCAGTCCAGGGACTGTGACCTTTGGGCCCCTGTGGAAACACACACCAGACATGGCTTCTTTTCAGGCTCTGGGAGGAGGTTTGGACAATGCAGAGCACAGTGTTGGCCAATCTGCTCGTCTGAATTTGCTGGCAACTGGAACAACTCCCAGCACCTTGGACTTTCTACATTCCTGGCATCGAGTGTTTAGATAATTTTGCAAAGCCCTTTATGCCCTGTCCAAATCATCACCTCAGCAGACAGCTCAGGAGATGCCAAGAGGAAAGCTCAGGAAGGAGGAAGACAACAGGGCAGGTTTGAATTTCCATAAGAAGCAACACGTGCTCAGGAGACAACACGCAGCCAACCTACGCTCTGCCAAGCCTCAGGGCACCTGCCTGGCCCCTCAGCTCTGAGGACAGAGCTCGGTCCCCACCACATGGGAGCTGTGCAAACAGCCACCAAGTCACCTGCTCTGCCACCCAAAGCTGCTCCACGGGACTTGGCAGGACACAGACACTGCAGCTGAGGCCAGAGCAGGCTCTGCAAAGGGCAGCACGCAGACAGCTCAGCTGTCAGGGTCACATAGGGTCCCTGATCCATTCTACCCATGCCCCAGAAAACAGCCGTGCTAGAGCAACATGCCCCAAAACACCTACTCAAAACCCCCCAAATAGTGGGGAACTAAGGAAGATTCTGACAGGTCAGCAAATCCCCTGTGAGTAAAAAAGACTTGCTCAAGCTGCTGGTGCAGCTCATTAAGTAGGGACAATCCAGCTCCCAAGGAAATAAACAGGGCTGGCTCTTTAGGAGTAGTGAGAGCCTGGAGCTGGGAACTGGAACACCGAGAGGGCTGCACTGCCCTCGAGCTCTGCACCAGTGTGGCCATGCAGCTGCTGTGTCCACACCTCCCAAACCTAACACAACACCTGCAACACAACACCAGCACTGGGAGGAGCATCCTCAGAGGCTGTCCCCAGGCTGGAACCATGGGCACTTGGGAAGTGGCAGGAAGGAATTTACAAGCAAGGAAGGAGCCCAGCACAGCAGGCTCAGAGGGGACAGCAGCCCTGTGGTCCCACTGAAGGACAGCTCGTGCACTGCCCTGTGCCACACCTGCCCCTCACACCCTCTGCAGGCACTGCCATATGGGGACAGCAGACTTTCACTGAGACATTACTGCTACACGTGGGAGGACAAACAAGCCTGCAACAGGCCAGAAAGCACACTGGAAATCTTTCTCAGGCAGGACAACAACCAGACGTCCACGACCAGAACTCACATTACCTTCCCAAAGTTGTCAGTGTGCTTCCGATAGTCTAGGTCCTCATCCTGAAGGGAGATAAAGAGTCAAAATGTTTAAGCACTTGCACAGCTCATCCGACCAAGACATGCTTGTGTGTGGGAAGTGCTGGGAAGGCTAGACTCAAAATGCACACCAGAGATCCAGGGCACTGAATGCTGACAAACTGGTTAATACCTAAACCAGAGTCCTGTCCCAGCATGAGTCAGAGGAAATGTGTCCTTATCTGATCCCAGCTTGGCACTGCCGGCAAAGGTGGTTCTTGCCCAACTTGCAGCCCCAAGAGTGCTGCACAGCTGCATCCTCCCTCAGCCCAGCAAGCCCCTGACAGGACAGCATCCCTTCTCCTGCCAAAGACCCTCACAAGAGGCAGGCTTAGGTATCTGCAGCAGCCAGCAGCACCGGGCAGATCTCGGTGTCAAACTCGTGTGCTACAGCTAAGCCAATTTAACAGCTCAGCACACCAAAACATGTCCCTCAATTTGCCTGTGGGTCACTTGTTTCTGCAGTTATCCAGGTGATTCTATTCACAGATTACTTCATTACTCAGTAAACTCAATTCATTACCTGACATACAACCACTGACTTTACTTTTCCCTGGTTAGGTTAGCTCCCAACCAGAGAGTGAGCTGAGGAGACTCAAGAAAGGTCTGATTAGACTCAAGACAACAGAAGGCAGAAGCATGAAGCTCAGTAGGAAGGCAGAGGAATTTCTAACTCTGGCAGCACCTGGCTGACAGATCAATGTGCCTGCACTGTGTTATTTCACCTTGGGAGAAGTCATGGGCTTGCCTGCAGCTCCCCTAACATTCCCAAGGCCCACACTGATCATGAGGCATCAGAGTGTGTCCCATCACTCTGTGATCTCAGACACGTTGAAGCAAACATGAGCAGGCTATTTTGCTGCCACTGCCCGTTCTCCAAGCACCTGGGAGCCAGGCCCAGGAGCTCTGCTCCTCTGCTCTGCCCCGTCTGGGGAGCAGAGGGGAAGAGCTGTGCATGCCCTGTACTCCACCTCCCACCAAAGCCCTCTGACTCACTATGTTGCTGTGGTGAGCCTTAGTCATGAGCAGCATGCGGCCAACAAGATCAGTGGTGGACACGCCTTGAGTGCGTTTGCATTCCCTGCGGGAGACAAGCAAAGGATGAAGCAGAAGCCACAGGAGCCAAGGCTCTGTCTTCCCACCATTGCCACGGGGACCCCTGTGACACCTGATAAATGCAAACCAGGGGCTGTCCTAAGGAAGCCTTCCTTCTCAAGAACAGCATTTTTTTGCTGAGCCTCTGCATCATCCTCACGTCGCGGCAACTGCTCGTGTGAACGCTTCCCTCACTCAGGCTTCCCACCAGAGCCAGCTCTCAGTGAGGCTTTAAAACCAGACCAAGCCTCTGCCAGGAACCAGATAACCCCACTGGGCAGGAATGTCTGCCCCACTTCCCTGAAGCCAAAATGCTGGGAGCAGCTGAAGCTCTGACACACATACAGCCAAATTCAGGCGTGACCTGAAGAGTGGTATGTTCCATCTGACTTCCCTTCAAAGCACAAAGTCCCAGGAACTCTGCCCAAAACAAGATAAACAGGTAAGCAGCAAGAGGTTACCTGTATCGCCCTGCTGTCTTTACTTCCTCATAGGTGTCCTTGCCATCGATAGTTAAGGTGATGTCATCTGCAGAGAGAGAAAAGCCTCAGAACTGTACCCAAGCTCTCCTGCACAAAAGCAGCACTTGTGCAGGTCCCACACACCTACAACTCTGCAATCCAAATCCCTGTGCACACACAGGGGACATGTCCTGTGCCACACAAAGATGTCAGGGGTTTTTAAGACTACTGTGTCTGTGGAGACAAGGATATTCCTGGACCTGAACACCATTACCCATCTGGTGCACTGCTGGGTGCCCTGCAGCAGCAGGCACAGCTGATTGATTATTGTCTGAATGACAATAAACAAGCACTATCTGTATCAATGCTCAAAATGAGCCTTTTAGCTCTTCTGGGACTGGTTTTAACCCTTGGCTCATGTTACAAGTTTTCAATCAATGGAATGTTCTTCCTCTCAATGACTGCACTCCCACAGTGACATCCAGGACCCTTCTACTGAGGCCATTCTGGTTCATCTCTGGCACATGGCTCCCAACTCCCTCTGCAGAAACACCTCTCATGCTTTTGGGGATGGTACAAAGTCTTCCAAAGCAAAAGCTAAGCTGGTTTCCCTCTGCCAAAAGAGTCAGAGGGCAGCCCATGAGTGTGCCTGCAGAGTGGGGTGCCTCAGTCCTGCTCAGTTCTCCTAAAACCCCACAGCCTCCCCTCAGAGCACAGGCACAGGAGGGAACACACTGCCTGACATGCCAGCAGAGGCACAAACAGAGGGCTGCTGTCACCACCTCAGGTAAGCTCAGCTATTTCCAAATTCAGCTTTTGCACAAACACAGCCTGGCGAAACTGCCAGTGCAGGGGTGTTGCTCAGGAGAGCACGAAACGATTGCGACAGGTCAGCAGGTGGCAGAGGGGACAAATGCAAGCAGCTGGAGCAGGGGCCACGAGCACTCCCCTGCTGTCATCACCCCTCACCACACCCTGTAAGTGATCACGTACACCAAACACACTCAAAGAAGTTAATGAGGAATTTGATAACCACTCCATCCACGTGAAAAAAGAATATTTATCTTCTAAAGATTAAGGATTTATTTACGTTTTGTGAAATACTTGGCTTATCAACAGCAGGTGGCTGGGATCAGATGAGAGATACACGAAATGAGTGCAAAGACTACTCCTGGTCAAAGTAACAAAATTGCTTCAGAGGGGCAGGGAAGAAGGGCTGAGGCTTAATAAGCATTGGCAGCTGCCCAGGAAGGGACAGAGTCCCAGAGCAAGAACATTTCCTCAGAACACTGGTTCTCTTTAGCAACTGTACACTAAAAAGTGTTCACACTAAGAACTAGGTCTCTGGCCACACAGTCAGCTGACCCACTGAACAGCTTATCAGCTGGATAAAGAGAGGAGCTTTTCAGATCTAACCTTGTCCCAGGATAAGTAGAAATAAGCATGGTTGTATTTCTGCATGCTTTCCTTTTCAATAGTGTTTTTCACACTTAAGTTTTGTAAATGGCTTTGCACAAATTTCTGCTGGTGCTAAGGGCAACCTTGGGATAATTTTAAATGACACATTTCACCTTTGTAAGTTCAAACCAAAGGCCCTGTCCACTCTCGAGATTTTGAGCACACTGATGTTTCTCCAGCCCATGCAACCAGAAGCAGCTGTGCTGCCCAGTGCAGGTGCTGAGAAGGCAGAGCTCTGTCCCCCTGACCCTGCAGCCCCCAGGACGCTGCTGGCTTGCAGCAGGGCACCTGCAGCACACAGCCCATGTTAGCACAGCCACTGCCCCAAACACCACTCACCCCCATGCACGCAGAAGTCGCAGCTGTACTTGTCCAGGGTTTCCAGCGTGGTGACGTAAGGAGCTCCAGGAGCAATCTCATCCACCCACTTGATGGCCTGCACCATTTTGTACCTCTCCTCCTGTGTGAAGACGGGGGGACCCTTGTGCTTGGCAATCTCCTCTGGGGGAGAAACGAAATTCCAGTTAGAAGCACGTCCTGCAGCTACAGTGGCTCTCAGTCACTGTTCCACTCCTTCCATGGGCAGGTGAACTTCACTGCAGGCTTATCCTCAGATTTGGATCAGTCCGTGGTAGCAAAGGAAGCCCAGATGGATCAGGAAATATTTTGATTCAGTTGCATTTCTTAAACATTTAACAAGAGCCCTATAATTCACTCAGAGGGCAAAAGGTCTCAGTGCTTCCTTGTACCCAGATAGTTCTTCCTGAGGGGATGAGCTGGGCCTCCCCCTAGGAAAAAATTCCCTCTTAAACAGTAACTTCATACTACATCTGGTTCATACTGGAAATTCTGTATCCATAAACTCATTTAAAATACATCTTCACATGCCAGAATTTGTTTCTGGCACTTAACTTCCAGATGGCCTTGAAATGAGTTTTCTCCATAAGGTAACTTGTTTTGAAACCTAAGTTCTGCACCTCTTACCAGCAAAAGCAGACTGATTTTCAGCTGTTTCATATAGCACAGAACACAGATTAACCCTCGGAGCCTGCAAGGTCTGACCCACCTAATCCTCAGTCCAAAAATGTGACAGGGGTAACTCCACTCCCAGAGAAGGGACGTCTTTCTCTTGGAGGCTACTGATCCTGGAGCAGATGCAGGATGAAGCCTGATCCTATCAGGAACTCTTGGTTCTCATGGGGCTAATGCTGCCGGGCAGTTTGAGGGGCTGCACGAGATGAATCCAGGTAAAGGCTCTTACCATCCGTGTGGACCCCAACGATCAGGTAATCGCCCATGGCCCGCGCCTGGCGCAGCTGGTTCGAGTGGCCATAGTGCACCATGTCATAGCTGCAAAGAGAAGGGCCGGTCAGCCCGGGCACACCGGCACGCTCCGGTGCAAGCTGCGGGCTCTGCCCCAGCTTTGGGGCTGAAGGTCTCTGCTGCCGGGCAGGGCTGTGCCGGTGCGGCCCGGTCCCAGGCCCGCAGCAGCGCTCCCTCCAGCGCGGCGAGCCGGCCCTGCTGCTGCAGCGGCCGGTCCCTGCCCGGCAGGTGCTGGCTGTAGCCCGGAGGAACGGACCGGCCCCAGGAACGGCGCCCGTTAAGCGGCCGAGGGCGCTCCCGGCCCCGGAGCGGTCTGTGGCCAGCTCCGCCCGCCGCCGCTCGCCCGGCGCCGGAGGCGGCTTAGCGCGGAGAGCGCCGCGGGCCCGGGCCCGTTCCGCCGCGGTGACAGAGGAGGCGGAGGCACCAGCGTAGCCAACACGGTTTATTTCTGCGGCGCCACGACATCGCCCGGCCCCGCGCCCGCCCCACTCACCATCCAGCGCTCAGCGGCTCTTCCTGCGCCGGGCGCCCTTGGCGCAGCCGCGGCCGAGCCACCCCCCGGGCCGCCCGACAGCCGCCTCCGCCCGCTCCCGGGGCTGCTCCTGCTCCCGGGGCTCCTCCCGCTCCCGGGGCGGCGCCACGGGTTTCCGCGAGTGCGTGCCCTCCTCCCCGGGGCGCAGCGGCTCGGCCAGCGCGAAGATGGGGTCCCGCGCCCTGCGGAAGGAAGGAGAGGGCGGCGGTGGGCGCTGCAGGCGGCCCCGGGCCGGGGCTCTCCCGCACGCGGCCCCGCCGCTCACCGGTCGTAGCGCGGGATTTGCAGCCCCAGCTCCGCCATCAGCAGCCGCATCACGTCGTCGCAGCGGCCGTGCAGCTTCAGGGCGGCCAGATCGTCCTTCGGGGTCCACTGCGAGGAGAGCAGAGCCGGCTGCAGGCGGCTCCCCGCGGCGGCAGCGGGGGCTCCTGCCCCGCGCCCCGCACATCCACGGCCCCTTGGCTCACACCTGGCCAGCCCAGCGCCGGGGGCTTTATCTCACCTGCAGGTTCACAATATACAGCTTGGGCCGGCGTGTGGGGGGCTTGCTCATGCACCAGAGCCGCGGGTATTTTTTCAAAACCTGCCACAAAGCACAGAGGATCAGCACAGCCACAGGCACACGCAGCCATGAACCGTATCAGCGAGAGGAAAAGGAATGTATTACCAGGAGGGGAAAGAGGGAGGAAGAGAGACTATCACAGATGTTGGGCGAATCCTGACACCAGAGTTTACAGTTGTCTGTTTGGGAGGAGACTGCTCAGCACCAAGGTGTATCACCAAGAGGGAATGCTGCTAACAATCTTCACCGAGTCTCTAAAGTTACCTTTAAACTGGAACCCAGACAAAGAATCACATCTGCTTTGCTTGCAGCTTCTGTTGCTGCTTCCCAGTTCAGGGGCTGTCTCAATGTCCCCTTCTCCCCAAAGTGGACGATTGTATCTCTCAACTGTGCCCCACACTTGTGGCACATCCTGCCCGTGTGATGCCTGTGCAGGGCTGTGCGCTCTGTCACATCAAACACTCGCACATACTCTCGGTTGGGGGTGCAGGAAGTGCAGACCTGGAGCAGGACAAAAGCAGAAACCCCATCACATCGTCAGCATCCCGCCCACTAGAAGCCAGGAGCAAACCTCTTCTCTTGGAAGAAAGGCATTTCTGTGGACAAGTTGTAGACAGAAGCATCAGGGATCAGATGCTAACTTGGAAAACCTCAAGGTTTTTTTGAAAACCAGCTCCTTCTGAGCTAGTGGCAGATCAAGAGTTTACATTCTCTTTTTGTGAGGCCACTTAACATGGACTTTTTCCTGCTCTGGCCACTCACCTCTATGTACATGTTCCCGTGCAGCTCAGATATTGCAGCTCGGGGTAAGCCGCTCCGCAGGTGCAGCCCATCACAGTTCTGAGACACCACGTGCTGCACCTTGAAGGGAACAAAGCACTCAGCTCCTGCAAACACACAGGGATCCCTCCAGGCAGGGGATGGCCATGTCCCAAATGCACCAACAGCCTCTAATCAGAGCAGGACCCGCAGGGGAAGAGCATGGTGAGCAGACCTTTGTGAAAGCTAAATGGAAACCTCCTCCTGTTCAACAGAACATTTCTAGGGCTGGCTGATTTGTGACCAGCTCCCCAGACCAGCCTCACCAGGTACAAATACAACATGTTAAAGAAAAGGCACCAGGGGAAAACCTGCCAGAGCTGGAGCCTGCAGCTGACTGAGGAAGGCTTGGACACATTTTCCTACACGGATATGCAGCCACTTGAGCCAAAAACGTAGTCAGGCAATATTCTCTGACTATTCCCTGCTGGCTTATCATTCTTAGGCAGAGGAACGTGAGTGAGGGGAGGTAAAAATATCTCACCAGGTTGTGCTTGTGCAGGCAGGCAATGCTCATATGAGTGAGTGTGGGCTCTGCCTCACTCAGGTCTGCAGCCCTGACAAAAAGCAAGGGGGAAAAAAAAAAAGTTGGAATTGCCATTAACCTCTTCCAGTATCAGCTTTCTGTCACAGAGTTCAGAATTTGGCTCCTCACCTGACACTCCTGCCCTTCTGCAGCAGTGTCCAAATGCCATTGGGGCCTCTGTAGTCTGGGATCGAAGCCGCCTGTCACCAGGAGAGAAAACCAGGCCTGATGGGGCAGGGTTGTCACAGCCCTTGCGCACAAACACAGCAAACCCAGGCCCACCCAGGACAGCCAGACACCTCCAGCCATCGCTGCTTTTTCATTCACTCCAAGTTTTCCAGCATAGCTGTTCCCTAAACACAGGGAAAGCTCCTCCTCTGTTTTCTCTCGCTCTTCTACGTTTCAGCTCCCATTTTCTCTTCTAGTGTTAGCTTTCTTCAATTTTATGATTATGGAATCCCTCCAGAACTCTTTCTCATCCTTGGTACTTCCCATTTTGCTACACAGAACTCCATTCTTGAGCCTTTTCTTATTTTCCCTAGACTCTGGTTCTGGCACCTCACACTCAGCATCTCTAGCAAAAATACAGGTGACATGAGCACCCAGCCCCCTGCCCTGAGTCATGCTCCATTTCAGCAGAGAATGGAGTGGCAGAGCTCACACAAAGGTGGCAGATGACACATTAGAAGAGGTAGAACCAGACTGCTGCTTTGCCCCAGGCTACTGCAATAAAACAATTCTCAAACTGCAGTTTATAAATTCCAATGATCCCCAGCTGTCTCTGCATGTCAGATAAGACATACAACATCCCTGAGCTAACTGGCTTGAGGTTTTACACCAAGTCATGGAAGAGACTCGAGTGAAGCAAGAGCACAGTCCTCCTGCTCAGGCTGTGCCTCCTGCACGGCCGGAGGCGATGCGGCCACAGGCAGCAGGAATGACCCGGGGTGCAGCCTGAACTGCCCGCCGCAGGAGCCGTGCAGTGTGCCGGGCTCACACGTGTCTGTGCTCGCTGCAGAGGCAGGCGGCAGCCCGGCCAAGGCGGCCCTGCAGGGCCAGCTGTGCCCCAACGCACCGTGCTGATCCCGGCGCCCGTGTAGATGACGAGGTGCCTGGCGCCGCGCACGGCCGCTGCCAGCTCGGCCACCTTCCTCGCCAGCTCCTCTGGCTCATCACACACCTGCAAAACACACCTCGGGTTCATGCGGGCCATGCCACCGAGCCACAGAGAGCAGCATCTCCTGATGGGCTTGGGCCAACCAGGAGAAGCAACGCAAACACAACATCAACGGCGATTTCCAAATGAAAAGGACGTGGGCATTGTTAATGGGAGGATCACGGCAAAAAGCTCCCCGGAGGCCGGAAGCTGCTGACCCACCCTCTCGGCTGAGCTGCCCGCACAGCCACACGCGCCTGGAGCGCGGCTGGCCGGCGACAATCACCGGGCAGGGCCCGGAGCGCAGACGCGTCCCCGGAACTGGGGCACAGCGGCTGTTCACCTGCTGCGCCTGCAGAGCTCGGCAGCAGCCAGCCCTGCGGCCTCCCCCGCGCCTCTCCGCGGCCGCTCCCCGCCATCCCCGGCGCGGCTTCCCCGCTCCCGCCGCGCCCCCGCCGCCCACCTCCTCCTGCCGCCGCCGCAGCCGTTCGCGCCGCTTGCGGCGCCGCTCCAGCTCCCTGACGATGTCCTCGCTCTCACTCAGCACCTGGCACTCCTCGGGGCTCCGCTCCGCCGGCGGCTTCCTCCAGATGCGGGACACCTGCCCGGTGCACACGCGTGGTCAGAGCGGCCCGCCGCGGCGAGGTGGAACGGGTCGGGCCGCGTCGTACCGTACCTGTCTCCGGCGGTCCCGCAGCTCCTCCTGCTGCAGGATCTCGGCGCGCGCCGCCGCCTTCCGCTCGGAGCGGCTCAGGCTGCCGCCCGCCGCCATCGCCCCGGAACCGCCGCGCCCCCGCCGCCACCGGGCTCGGCTCCGCCGCTTCCGCCTTCCGGCCAGAGCGCGCGCGCCGCTTCCGGCACCGCCCCCCGCGCGGCAGCGCCCCCTGGCGGCGGGCGGACCCCAAGGACGCGCAGGCGCGGCTGTGGAAGCGGTTTATTGTCGCGTACATAGGCGGCGGACACTGTACAGAATAAATAACGGCAATAACTTAGCAATAAATACCGCCTGCACCGAGCCCGGAGCCCTCTGGGTGACCCTTCTGTCCGCCAGCCCCGGCTCCGGCCGGGAGCGACTGTACACAATTCACAAGATACACAAATCCCGGGCGGGCTGGCGCGGGACCCCTGCCCGGGGCCGGGAACGGCACCAGGAACAGGAGAAAGGGAACACGACACCCTTCACAGCAGAAAACCAAACGGACGAGCACCTCAGGAACAAGAATTGTCACACTCCAGAACACTATACACGAGAGAAGCCGGGCGGCGGCCCCGGCGCGGGGCCTGGCACGGGCACGGCCGGCAGGACAAGCACCCCGAGCCGGACGGGGACACTGCGCAAACACCACTCGGTCCCACACTGCACTGAGAACAAAACCAAACCACAGGCAAGCGGCACTCGGGGGAGCGTGGGCTCGCCGCAGAGCTCGTTCAGCGCAGTGGCCCTGCGTGACACGGCCGCCCTTCCCCACGGCGCGCCCGCTGCACTCACGGGCCGCGGCAAGCGCAGCCGGCTCCGAGCACGGGGGAAGGACGGCGGGGGCCTTTGTCACGGCTGCCAGCCCTGCTTGTGACCCAGGACACAGCAGCGCGGCTGCCACCGGCAGGGACCCGACACTCCTGCCACCGAGCACCACAAAATGCAAGTTCTCCGTGGCTGCAGGGGTGCCCATCGTTGCCTGCTGTGTTGACGGGGCTCTCCTCACACCAGAGGCTCCAGCTGTGGAACCACGATCCTAACCAGCCCCATACACACCTTGCCTGCTCCACTGGCCCAGATCAGGACTCAGCTGTGTTCCAAGGGCTCTGGCTGGTTCAATCT